AATCTTGCGTTGTGATGCTTATAACTTTCTAAGAGTATGCCATAGGAAATGCAGTGACTCCTCATTTTATTCAGGATTTTGTCCTCTATAGGATGGTACTCTGCAAAACAAATTTTTACACATTCTTCTAGAATGTCTTTGGTTTTCTAGGAAACTACACTCCATTTATGAAATCTCTGCATGAAGCGTATTTGTTTCTAAGTTAAATACGCTGATCCTACATTTTTGAGCAGTATGCTAAATTGCTGGCTTTTCAAATTGTGAAATAAAGATTTTGAAAATTTATTTTCCTAAAAAAGAAAAGAAATTTACCTTGTTAAATCTACACATCCTGTTGTTAAAGAACGAAGTTTAGTATTTCTAATAGTAATTATACGAAAAAATTGTTCATTTGGGCCAATCTTAAATAGTCAAATAATTATTCTCGTTATTAAAATAAATAACGAAGAAATAAATTTTTACTTCAATATAATCGATTTGTTCTAATTGAACACTTTCAATTTTTTCTATTCGATATAAACCATTAGTTTCTTTTGTTTGTCGAAGTAAATAAACATTCATTGTTGTTATAAGAACAAAGACATTTTCAATATTACCATTATTATGACCAACAGTTGTTGGAAATAACTTTAAAAAAATAATTAAAAAAAATTCATATAACAAAAAAAAAGACACACTGCGATTCTTTTTCATACTTTAACTAATTCTTCTTTATTTTGTGCTTCATAAACTTCTAACGTAAATTGTAATTGAAGATTAGCATCAGCTCTATAAATAAAATAACGAAACAGAAAAAGAAAAGGTTTTCTATTTCTTCTTACGGTAATTCAAGTGGATCTGTATGAGTAATCTGTAATAGATCATCATTTTTTCTTTCAATACTTAAATCATTTAACCCGTGCTCCATTGACATTGATAGTGAAGATAATACTGAATGTTCAGCTTTTTCAGAAACATTTATTGAATTTTCAATAGATACGGAAGTTTGATTTTCTTCTATGACAGATTGATTTTCCATTACTACAGGTTGATTTTCTACTACTACTAATGGTTTATTTTCTACTATTAACGGTTGACTATAAACTGAATCTGTCAAAATTGATTTATCATCTGTAGGAATTGTCATGTTTTGTTGTTTATCAACTATCGTTGATTGTATAGGTGAAGGTGATGGTGTTCGTGGTCGATTATTTAACATAGGATCAAGTTCACTTAAACTTGAACTAAGTCCTGGTGTTGCATTTGCTAATGGTAATGGTGAATCAGTTGTTAGAAGTCTAGAATTTGATATTTGATTTTCTTCATTAAGGGATGAACCATCAATAGATGGATTATCAAAACTAACAGATGATGAACGTGATAACGTAGTTGGATGAATATCGGAAGATATAAAACTATTCACAACAGATGATGCTGTCGATGTACGACCAGTTCGTTTAGGTACTCGAACACGTTCTATTCAAAACAAAAAAAAGAAAAATTTCTAGATGAACGTATTACAGAACTTGACAAGTCTTCTCTCAGTTGATTTGGACCATTGTATATGCTGGAAGCCTGAAAATTTTTTGTACGTACATGTACTTCACGAAGAATGTAGGTCATTGACATTGGAATGCCATTATTGTTTAATTACAAAGGAAGTTTTGATATAGGGCACCTATTTTTGTTATTAGCCGACTCCTTAACATTTAATGCTATTCATCATCGATCTGCATTAATCATTTCGTTGAAGTTCATTAATCCTGTAGAAGGTTATACTCATTCTACTACGATAATCTTTGAGAAGAAAAGCCATCTGCTACCCTTTTGAAGTCACTAACTTAGTGATAATTCAATGAAATGAGTTCAAAGTTTTGGAGAAACTTTCTCTACAGTTAAATACATGTTATTATCTATAAGTTTCAGAAGCGAGTCTTGCGTTAAATAGAAGCGGAGAGAAAGATTGTAGATAAAACTTCAGCTACATGTACAAATTAATCAAATTTTTACTAGGAAACAACATAAAACGTTGTAGACAGCCTCTTTAGGTTATAATGCTAAGAGAAAAAATTAATGCCGTTCATTATCTAGAAAAATCCTTCTACTCTTTCGAATGATGACTTTTTCATTGTTAATATAACTTCGAAGTGTCGTCCGTCAAATACCATATAAATGAGCACTATTTGTTATTAGGTAGTACTTTTATTAAATCGAACTCTCGAAATCCCTATTAGAAAAATTCGCAATGCAGCCATTCTTTCTATCGAATATTCTCCTAATAATTATTTCTGAAGGTGCCAAGAGCATGGGTCATGGATCTCTAACACGATCAGTTTCGATTAATTTAGCTGGCGAAAAAGTCATGAATGATCGAATTGGAATGCATTTTTTTTTTTTCTTCAAAATATTGTCCCAGTCATTCCACAGAGATTCCAAAAAAGAAGGTTCTCTTAATCAATAACGACTTTGTGATGTCAATGACCAAGATTTTTGCTGAAACATATGTACATAAAGTTTCAGAACATACAGTGGCCGATATCGAGCGCAGCGAAAACTTTTGGTTCACTATTATTAATAAAAATTTACTCGATGTAACAGTAGTACTATGTTGAATAGCAGGTGATGAAGGTATATGTTGAACATCATATCTAGATAAATATGTAGCAAATGTTGGAACATCATTTCGTATGCCTGGTAATGCAAGTTTTTCTGTATCTCTTAAATCCACTTGTAAATACGCAGGCCAACAACTACGATCAAAATATACACAGTCCTAAAAATTGAAATCATTCATTGGTTATTTTTTTTTCTATTGAAATTAAATTTTTATTTCTTACAGTTTTTAAATTAAATTGAATGTTTTCTAAACCAGAACATAATGTTGTCAGAGTAATTAATCTCTATAGAAAGAAATATCTGATAAATCTAATTAGAGAAAAGAAATCTTACTTGAGTATCATTAACTATGGAATCTGATGTATAAAATTTTTTTATTAATTTTTTATTATCTTGAAAACATTTTATATAACTTTCTGTTAAATTATCATTAAATGCAAAGAAAAACCATGCACGACCACGACCAATATTTGTTTCTATATTTAATAGTGATTCGATTTGTTTTAATAATAATTTTGGTGTAAATTCACTAACACATTTATAATAACCATCTTGAACATATTTTAATCTAAATTTTAAATATTAATAATTCTTTTTTTTTTCTTGTAAAATACGATCTAAAAGGAGTGTTGAAAAATTTGAATCTCGCTTCAGACCGTGACAGACATTGTTAATATAAGATCAAAGAGTGTATATAAATAAAGTCTCGTTCTAATATATATACTCCAGCGTTACTGCATTTTTGGACAATTAAATCAAGGGATGGTGAAAATATGTGTTTAAAAATAGACAGAATAAAATAATTCCTCTATGATCAACAATAACAACCTACATTATGTTTTATAATTTAATTCCACAGGGAATACGCTGACAACTTCGTTTTTATTCACTATTAGAAGACAAAAAAAAATCCCAAACAAAGAATAGATTATTACCCATAGAGTAAAGCAAAATCTAGATGTTCGAGTAAGCAATGCACTTGCCAATCATCATTTGTTATAACTCGCGAAGGTTGTTCATCATCATCGACAGCTAATCGATGAATCTAAATAATATATTATTTTTAATTATTAACTGAATAAATAATGTTAAATAAACAAACTTCTCGAATAGCTGCAGAAATATTCGTTAAAATTTTATCTTTTATTATCTTTGGTCCATAAAGATAACTCATATTTGAAGTAAAGAAAAAATTATCTGCAACTAAAAGAAAAATTATATACATTTGAAAACTTAAGAATTAAATGTATTCTTGTCAACGTGAAAATATTAGTCATTAGTAATGAATCATGAAACAACAATTACATTGGAAATTTCTTTTTATATCATAAGATGAATCATATATTTCGGAAAAAGATGTCAAATACTTCTGCAGTAAAACTTAATATCATTAGTGACCGAGGCTCATTGAAATGAACTCATAAATATTTATAAATCTTCCGCAAGTGATTATTGCATTGATTTATTCGCTGCCTTCAAAAATAATTGTCAAAAAAAATAAGAAAAATTTTTAATTTTATATCCATTTCTAGATCCATTTGATTAATTAGATTTTATTAGGAAACTACTATAAAAAAAAACGACACAATTAAATGATTATACTCTTTGTTTCTTATGCACTAATGAGAATTAATTTACACTAAATGCAGATACGAAGAATATCTAATCACAATGGAAATATCATGATTCAAATTTACATATAGGTTTTGTATCGACTCAGAACTACGACACTTAAACAATTAACTACATTCATGTCTAGCAGAGTTCTTCGTGACGCATTTATCGCAATTATATGTAAATTTCAATCAGGAGATTTCCATCTAGGTAATAATTTTCTCTTCAATATGAATTACTTATATGTCAATTCTGTGTTTTAGATTGACACATAAATTCTTGTCGAAAGAAAAAAAAAAAGAGAAATTAATGTTAGAATGTATCAGTTAGCTCAACCCTTTCCCTAAATACTTATGAGTCAGTAAAATTTAATCATCAAACAGAAATATTAGTCATTCTTATCATACTTATGAAAATATGAGTTTTAAAAAAATGTTTTTAAGAATGTGTGTTTTTTTTTTCTTTCCAATATTATGCACTATTCTAATTATCTAGAAAACAAATATGAAATGTCATAAGGTGATATATAAAAGAATAAAAATCTCTTTCTTTTTATATATATGAAAATAAAAGAGCTCGGAGCAAATTGAGTACTTGAATTATTCTATTCATAATGTAAGAAAAAAATAAAAATTGAATTAAACATCTGACGCCTCAAGAAAACGAAAATAACAAACAAAAAGAAACAAGAGGAAGAAACATAATTAAATAAATCAATTTAATTTATTATCACAAAAAAAAAATCTTTTTTTTTTCTTATTTTATATTCTAAAAAATATATATTTCTATTTTCATCGAACATATGATGGTAATATAATTGAATTTTCAAAATCAAATTCATATAAATTCTCATTTGATTGTTGTTTTTTATCAACAATTGTATTAATTGTTTTTGCATGACTTGTAAACCATTTTGGTTTTAATGCATTTTTAAATGCATTCCATGCAAAATCTCCACTTTGTTCTTGTAAACTTGAATCATTAAGAATATCTTTAAGAAATTTTGTTGCAGTTATTTTAACATTTTCATCATTTAATACTTGATGAGTAACTTCTAATGCTAAATTTGTTAACATTTGTTTTGTTTTATCATCATTAACAAATTCTTTTAATAGAATATATAAAGCATCTTGATTATCTTTTTGTAAAATAGCACGACGAAATAATTGTCCAAGTTGTATTTCAGTTTCAGATTTTTTCATAACATCATAAATTATTTGTGATGTAAATTCCGATACATTTTGTTGCATTTCACGATCAATCATTAAACGTTGAAAAAGACGTATAAGAGTTTGTTTTGTTGATGAATCATCCATAACACGTTCCAGAAATACAAGTGCTTGTGATAATATATTTGAATCGGATAAAAGATTTTGAATAAGTTCTTGAGATAAAACATTAACTTGTTGTTTTACACTATCTAGAAAAAAAAATAATTTTTTTGAAAAATTATTTAAATATAAATAGAATATGTGAAAACAAAATGTAAAATTGAAGTATGCATTATACTTTTTATCATAACATAATTTGAAAGAGAAATAATTTTGATTTGTCAAGCAGAAAAATCCATTTTGTTCATGCTCAATTAAATTAAAATTAGTGAAGTGCAATTTAACTTATCGATTTATAAAGCAAAAAAAATCTCAAAAGAGATGAATATACTTGAATGAAATTTACCGTGTTCTAAACTGCTTTTTGCTACATCGGCAACTTGTGCAACCGTTTGATTTTTTAATGGTTTTCGAAAAACATATAGAAATATTACAGTCGATATAACTATAATACCAGATCCAATAACAAGTGCTTTAACAACACCACGTTGTTCATAAAAATGAAGACGTCGTAAAACCATGTCAGATATTTCACTTGCTGACATATGAATACGTGTCGATGTAGACTCAGAATGTTTTTTCGATGATGATACGGTATCATTCTTTATAGCCAAAGGACATGTTAAATGTATCGGACGATATTTAATTAATATTAATTGTGAAAGACAATATCCTTTTCGTATAAAATTTAATCTCGTAAACATCTTGAAGAAAAGAAAAAAAAATGAGATCGTTTTCCGAAAAGTTAAAGGATTATGACTTTTGTTTTGTTGCATATACAGATAATCAAAGGAATACACTGTCGAAATCAAATACAAGCAGAAAAAAAAAGAAAGAAAGGACTTTGCAATCAAGATTTTCTACTACCATAGACGTCTTACAAAAAAAAAAAACAAAAGAAAAAGAAATTAAATATCAGTAAATTATCATCCAGTCATATCCGGTTCATCATCGTTTCGATCAGCCATATGTGCAACACGAAATTCATTGTAATGTTTTTTACGTTTTAATTCAAATTGTTTTTTTCGTTCTAGAGAAAAACAAAAGACTTCTTATTAAATTAAAAACTTTAGAATATTAAAAACAAACCTCGTTCTTCAGGTGTTAATGTTTGTTCATCATCATGATCAGCTTCAACATGTACATGATGATGATGACCAGAAGATGTTGATGAATCTCGTGAATGATGATGAATTAATATTGGCTTTATTGAATCAACTGATGAACGAGATGAAGATACACTAATAAATAATAATAATAAAGATTTTTCTATATAAATTAAAGACAAAATCAATTTACGTTTCATTTCCTTTTTCTTCTCCATCGGATTCATGTGAAGCAGTTGTTGTAGGTTCTTTTTGTTCTTCTTGTTCAAGAGCACGTAATTCATCTTCAATTTCTTTTTTACGTAATCGTACAATTTCAAATTCATTATAATGTTGTTTACGATGACTTTCAAATTGTTTTCGATGTTCTAAAAATGAATTTATAATATTCTCATGTTTTCTTTTGATGATTTATTTTTTTTTTTCTACCTAATTCTTCTGGTGAAAGTTCAATAACTTCATCAATTGATCTACGTACGTGACGACTGAGACGTGATAGAGAAGAATCCGGTGAAGGTACTGTTGATTGATTTAATCTTAATAAATATAAAGAAAAAAACAAACGAAAGATTAAAAGACAAAAAAAAAAAATTTTTTTTAAATAAATAAAAACCGTTGTGCAAGTGTAAGAGGATCAATTCCTGCATTTGTTGCTTCCGGAAGTATTTCTTCATCAATAATATCATTTGGTGCATAGGGCGTTTTAGGTTCTTCTATTTTCATATGACCATAATCTTTATCGGGTGGATGATATGTTGCAATTATATTCATTTCATCAAAATGCGGAATTTTATGACTAAAAAACAACAGAAAATAAGAATAAATGATAAATTTTGAATTATTCTTTTACCTTTTACTTTCAGATCTAGTCATACCAGTTGTTGGACAATTAATTAATGATGGTGTGACTGTTTCAGGTTGAATATCCTCTCTTCCATCATCAAAACTTTTTTTTGATTTAAGAATACCTCTCGATGGTTGCATATGTAAATTTGCTACTGGATCATGTACTTCATTGTCAGTATTAGACGACATTATGCTTCAATATTTTTGTTTTTATTATGATTTTAATAGTTTATGTTGTATAAAATTTTTTCATCTAAAATAAGAAAAGACAAACAAGATAAAAATAATCTTTTAATCAGAATTAAAAAAAGACCTTGTTAAGAAAAAAAAAAACTATAGACATTAATGGTGTTAGCCTAAGCAATAGTTTTGCTTTTCTATTGTTACTCTGCGAAATAAATGGGCAATTCTATTTTCTTTTTTTATCCTTTTCTGCACTCTCTCCACACTAAATGATATATGAAAAGAAAAAGACTCGAACGCAAAAATATAGCACGAGTGCGAGTAATATATGCATTGCTGATTTGTTGCTGAGATTAATTACGACTACTCGTTTCCATTTTTTTCTTTTCTTTCTTACATACACGCAAACGTAAACTATTAATATATCGGTTTTTCTTCGGTTTGACTCAATATATGAATAACATTTGAATCATATCAATAGAACAGAAAAATAAATTCAAATGTAAGAAGAATCCTGTCAATAGGGATTTAAGTTATGATTGCCTACCACATCTTTTATAGAACAGATAATCGGTAAACCATCGGCAAGGGATAGTTTTGTTAAACATAGATATATGTATAAGAACAAAAAAAAAAAAAAGAAAATGAACATTTCAATGATATTTAAATTCATATCTTAGAAATGACATTTATTATCATTAACAAATGTCGGTTGTTGATAACAATAGATTAAAATAGCACTTTTAAATAAAATATATATTAAAGATTACCTGAATAAATAAAATTCTTCCAATTAATAAAATAAATAATAGAAGAAAAAAAAATCTTACCAGAATATTTATGAATCTAAAAATTTCATCAATTAATTATATCAATGACAGTTCGATGATTCATTATAGAAAACCTCAATAAAATGATAATGATAATAACACAATTAGAACGTATGACTTGCATCCTATTGCAACGGATTGGCGTATGTCATCAAGGCACATATGTATTTAAAATACACTTGGCTTATACAAACAAGCCAAGAAAGAATATTTAACTAAATTTAAATTTCAAACGTATTAATTAAGAGATCTACCAAAGGATGTTGAGTGTATTTCCTAAAACTAATATAGATGTCGTTAAATTTTGAATCATTAGTATAGTGGCTCATGATGACATTCTTGCATTCAATGGCAACTATGAGTACAATATTGTATGCATTAATATATATTCTTATACATATTGGATTAAATAATCATTGTTAAAATATATTCTTTTGTCGTTTAATCTATAGACGATTCTTATGAATGTATTCACTTTGTTATTGATTATTTATTAAAGAAAAAAAGACACTCTTTTGAATTGTGATGACTTGGCGACGATCACGTTTAAGGAAAGAAAATAATTTGAGTTTCAAATTAGGTACCGAAAGAAATATTTTCTTACTAAGTACATGATTCGGTTCATTTTTACCATTTGCATCCATTTTTTTTTATAATAAATAGTTCGTCATTGGTTTGTTTTTTTTTTTCGTTTGAAATATTTCTTTTTACACAGCTGTTCTGTCAAATCTTGAACTAGATGAAAAATAAATAGTTTTGTCGATTGTTAAACTTCTATTATGTTAACAATAATAAAAAAAATAAAAAATCAACATATTCATCGAATCAAAAAGAACATTATAATAAAAAAAAAACTTACAAATGTTATTTAAGAAATCATACGAGACAATTGAAATTAATTTTCGAATTGTTTGGTACTTAGGATACATTGACAAATAATATTGCTAGATCATTTACTTCATAGCATATGCAAATTTTATATTAGGTGTCTTGTACTTCCTATAAGATGACAATCAACAACTGAAGAGTCGTTTGTGGGTGGTTAGAATGAAACAACAGATGTTGTATTTTTCTTTCATTCAACAATATTATAATAGTAGATTATTCATGGACTGATGTTTTTTTTTGTCTTCGTTTAATTAAGAGAAAGATTGTGCAATTATTACTAAATCAAATAAAGACTAATGATATTTATTGAATAGAAATATTGTATAATAAGTCTTCAAGTAGCATACTTCCATAATATAAAAATCAAATGTGCTCGAAAAATAGCATTTCTATTTTATCCTTGTGAGTTTGTGTATATATATACACTTTGATTTACGAATTATGCAAAAAAAATAATTTCTTGATAAAGTTTATAGGGGAGTCATTGGTTTATATTACGTTATTAAGTTGAATGTAATAGCAGAAATAGAATCTATAAGATTTTTCCCTTATCGGTCTAAAAGATCAAATTACTATGAGTCATCTTTTTCTTTTTTTTTGTGACACTATATCATTCAAATCAATCTGTTTTAAACACTATAGTAATATTAAAAGAAACTTTGTTTTACTATTATTGTGCTGTTTGCTATTCATTCCCATCCACTTTCTCTCTCTTGATGACATATATCTGAAAATAGCAAATTTCTAGGACTACAAAATCTATATTAGCTACATTCATGAACTGTTTGCCAGACATGGATATCATTAATTAATTGTATAGTAACTTTGCTTTCCATGGTTTTTCTTTCGTTGTGTTTATCTGTGAGAAATATGAAGCAAATAGAAATAAATCTATGATTGATTACAATACTATGCAATTATTCAATTTTGTTTAGATAACATTACGTGATATAAAAAAAAAATGTATAAAATGTACTATGATAAGTTATAACCGAATAAAAAAAATCTTCAACATTAGTAAAAAATATTTTATCAATCTGTAGGAAAAAAAAAGGTCATGCAAAAACTTGAAAAATGTCAAAATAGAAAGTTTATACTGTTACTGGTTACATCGTCGAGTGATAGATTATTATTTGGGATGTATTAGTCAAGAAAGAAAACTACAGCACTGAGCTAACACATTTTTATTTTATGTTTTTATATTGACTTAATAATGAAAGACTACAGTTTAGATATTTAGAATTTTTTTGTACAATTTGTTGAAATAGTATAAGAGAACGGTTAATACTGATTATTTGTGATAATAGGAAACTTTTTTTTGTAAAGGGGATAGCGCCTATGCACGAAATAAGCTAGAAGTTACTAAAAAAGTGATCATGTGTTCAAAATGATGATTACTTACAGAAACAGGTGTTTAAATTGTCAACGAAGAACAAGGCTAAAGGTTCTGAAAATATACTATATTGCTACTGATTCTAGTGCTACACTTTCTTGCTGATTCTTAATCAAGATTTATCGAAATACATTTATTCTTATCAAAAGAACAGTGAAATTGTTCTTTTAAGCAGATGATCTACTTGTTTTTTTTAACATAAACTATAATAAATTGAAAAAGTACAACATTTCAGAACAAAAAATATACAGCTTTCTTCTTATGTCAAAACCATTTCTCTTATCTGAATAAGAAATTAAACATGCACAAAAAAAGAAAAATTTACGAATAATCGAATAAGATATATTCTAAGACTAATTGATAAACTATTGATTGATGTAAAAATCTAATGTTAGAATACAAATTAGTACATCAATGATTTCGTTGCTTAATAAAAATTATTTATTACTCACTGAATTCATACTCAAGGTATAAGATAGAAATCAAATGAAAAAACTGTCTCTTGATCACCCAAAAGAGATACTATTGATAACGAAATACATTAGTGAAAAATGAGTGACAGAGAATTAATGTTTATGAGTATTAAATGGTATGTCTATGACAGAGGATGCACTGATCACCAAAACCTAATTGATCGATCAGACTAAGTTAAATCATAATAATAATCTCATCTAATCAAAATACTTCCATGAATTCAGAACCCTTATAAGCAAAGATATGGGCCTTTGCTGAATCTACGCACACTCATCTATAGGCTTATCTCATTATTTGATTTAAAAAGAAAAAGAATCGATGTCGAAAATTTTCTGATTGGGACATAAAACATAGTCATTATCATACGCTCTTGACAAGAAAGACAAAATAACAACAGATTGATAGAGGGAGAGAAATTGCAAAAACTGCGAATGATGTTGATATAAAACGCAATCTCATAAACAATATTTCGTTTTATTTGTCTATTTTTACAAGATGTATACTTATCTGATCGCAGATTTAATTAGATGACATTTTGACCAAGTTGAGAATGTTCGTTAAAATGCAAAGCACTCTCAGCTTGATATTCTTCATTTCGAATAAATTATATATATATATAGGGTGTAAAATAACCTTTGCGCCTACCTCTATAACCTAAAGTATCAATAATATCACAAATGTATTTTATACCAAATTAAAGCGCATCAAAAACTGGATTTATTGGTACTAAAAAGTAAAGGTTATGAAGGCCTTTTAATGTTGAACTTAAGAAATTTTCAGAAATTTTATGCTTTTTTGGCGTACAAAAATTAAGTTGTCAGCAATTCAACAATGGAGTAAAACTTTTTTCTTGGAAATTTTTAATGGTTCGATAGAGCTCGACGAGCTCTACAAAGCTGTAGATATTTAAAAAATTTTCAGCCATCTTTTTGAGATAAAAAATTCAAAAAACTATTTGGAAAATTGGAAAAAATGTTAAAGAAAGCTCATTTTTTTATGTGAAAGAAAAACACTCGATTTTTCAATAAAATTAGCTTTTCTCATTATTTTTGCTATCTCAGATGTTTCGAAATGTACTTAATGAATGCAGTTTTTCACGCAGCATCAAATGATTATATTTCAAAACGTCTGAGGTAGCAAAAATAATGAGAAAAGCTAATTTTATTGAAAAATCGAGTGTTTTTCTTCCACATAAAAAAATGAGCTTTCTTTAACATTTTTTCCAATTTTCCAAATAGTTTTTTGAATTTTTTATCTCAAAAAGATGGCTGAAAATTTTTTAAATATCTACAGCTTTGTAGAGCTCGTCGAGCTCTATCAAACCATTAAAAATTTCCAAGAAGAAAGTTTTACTCCATTGTTGAATTACTGACAACTTAATTTTCTACGCCAAAAAAGCATAAAATTGCCCTCATTTCTCATTAGATATAAGAGAAGTAATAAATCCTATAAACTATTCAATACTCATGGATTTTGTGAGAGAGGACTCTATAGTTGGAAGGTAGATTATCTTCTAATGAAGTGAAAACATTGATACGTTTAAAATTGAGCGAGCCATCGACTAAGCATTAAGTAATGCACAGCTAATTCAGAAACGAAGAGGGACAAGTTTTTAAAAAATGTGGTACGAAACAGAGAATTTCTATCATTGTTTGCGTAAACATTTAGTCTTTATACTTTGTGTCGTGATAATTTGAAGAACGGTCATTCGCTTGAAACTCATGAGAGCTTTGTAGAAGAGATCGATTTATCAAGATAATACAAAGATTTTTGAATCTTCAACATGAATGATGTATCGAACAATAAAATAAGGTAAATATTATGGGAATAACATAGAACACAAGTTATTCTATTGAACCATGCATTTTAACGAAAATTCCAACTTACAACACATGCGCAACAGTTTGCAAAATGAATAGTTGAATACTTTTGTAAGAACAGAAAACAGCCTGCTATGACTATATCGTCGATAAAAACTAAACAGATCACTGGATTGATCTAAAGTCTTTTCTTAATATACGTACCAGAGACTATAGGATGTAATGTAACGAAAACCAGATGATTCAAGTTCATCTAGTTTTTTTTGATATACGCAAAAGAATATAATATTATCTATTACACAGTTGAATAATGTTCTTACTTACTGTATATACTCATAGTTTAAACAGAACTCTATAATTGGATTTATATTTAGCAATTCATGAGTTGATACGATAATATAAAAATATCGATCAAAGCTATTCACCTGTAATTTAGACAGATGAGGGAAACATTCACTTCTATAATAAATCGCATATTATACTATATATTCAAGCAAGAACTATTCGTAATAAAATATATTTAGTTTTCCAAATTCATTTCTAAAAAAAGTGCAATGATGATATGAATGTTTTTGTGAAGGTCGAAAAAGACACTGAAGATGAACTAATCGAAAGTTTTTTTAAATTTACGATGATCGGAGATTATTTATTGAACCGATTGTATAATTTGGATCAGTTTGTGCTTAAAATTCGTCAATTGTAGTATGGAGATCATTCTTAATAAGACAAAGGATCTGTTCGAATTTTTCGGATTTTATTTGATGACAGTTACACCCGACCGTGCTCCATCTTAAATATCTTCTCAATTAGTGCAGCACTGACTTCAATTCACGATTGAAAGTTTTCCTTGTGCAATAAAATAGAAATAAGCGCTGCGTCTACATCCTCAAGTCCTTATTTTCATTTGTGTCTATCTTCATCTTTTTATCTAACACTTATACAAAAACTATATGATCTTCATTATCAAGAATCTCATTCAATATCATCATCAAATAATCATTATTTATTCATCTCCGAAAAATAAAGAATATCAACACCACGTTACTTGCCTTGTTGTTTTCGTCAATTAACGACTAGTAAATCTTCTCTATCTAAGCTATACGTATCCAAAAGTATTTGTTCAAATGAAAGAATGATCTATCGATAATATACAGTTTTAACTCATCATTATCTATGAATCCACAACAACAGCGTCGACTTGAAGAGTCAACTTCATATGTATATTAAAAATAAAAATACTTTTTTCTCAACTATCTCTTCCTCCTCATTATCCTAAAATTTTTTCATGAATGAAATGAAAACTAAAGCAAATATTGATCGCTCAATATCACCTATTGTTATAGGACATACAAAAACATATTTAGATCAAAAAATTGATACAATAGAACAATCATTTTCAAGATAGTTTAATGAATTGATCATTATTATATACATTATCTTAGTATTGATCAGCTATTTTGCACCTCGAAAGTCTATGAAACATATTGATGATGAACATATAACAAATATAAAAGCATTAAATATGATATCTGTACAAATATCAACGTTAGAAAAAACGATTCAAATATCAAGTTCAACAGTAAGTTACAAATATTAGATTGATTGATTGATTATTATTATTTTTTTGTTATAATTTAGATGGAATGGTTTATGTACAAATTCAGCTAATTATGCATGTTCCATTAAACAAAAGTAAATAATTCATGAAGTTTTTTGTTAATTTGAACTGATATCAAAACCCGTCAAGTGGCTTCGTAATATGACTCTGAGAGATTCCTTGTACCTGTTATGCCGAAAGTAGTGTAGTACACGAAAAGACCGCTAACTTCGTAGGTCCTTGTCATCATTATTGTACGTCATACCTACATTCATAGCCCTACTTATCTAGTGTGGTCCATTCTGCATGCAACCATTTCAGACTTACAGAGGTTTCTATGGTTGCGCGCCTGCATACGCGAAAGCGAGCGGAGAAAACTCGGGAAACGGAAGTGAGTAGCAATCAAAATTAATTTATTGAGCAAGCAAGAAAAAATTCTACAGCTTCTTTCGAATTTCTTCAAATGTTTCTTTATAGGCCGAAAAATGGGGGTGATTTGAAGGCAATTTTTCTTGAGCGATTTCCACCGCTTGTTGAATATTTTTCATGACCATACTATATTCATGAGTAGCCAAATATAACTTTGCCAAAGCATGGTACATAACAGCTAAATCAGGATGATTTTTGGTAATTTATTTTCACGTATTTGTAATCCTTTTTTAAGATATGTCAATGCTGTTGAATAATCTTTCATTTCTCGATAAGTTTCACCTAAATTTGTGTATGTCGTTGCACATTCCAGAGGATTACATTCAATATTTTCTTGAATATTTAATGCTTTTTGATGAAAGGCAATCGCCTTTTTATAATCTCCCAATAACCGATGAACGTCACCAATATCACTGCAAGTAGTAGCTTGATTAGGATGTCTTTCATGTAACATTTTCTGACGTATTGCAAGACACTTTTCAACATACTCAAGTGCCCTTGCATAATCCTTCATACCGCGATAAACTCTTCCGAACCAAGTGTATGTTGAACTAAAAGCTTGATTACCTTCTTCAAATGCTTTCTGTTGAATATCTAAAGCACTTTACAGTCTTAAGAGCTTCTACGTAATCACCCAGATCATGATGCATCATGCCAGTGTTGGTGTATGAAATAGCCAAATCTGGATGATTCGGATGCAGAGTTTTTTCTCTTATTTTCTGCGCTTTTTCGTAAAATTTAAGCGCTTTCGAGTAGTTACCCATGTTGCGATGCACTAAACCGACATTGTTGTAGGAAATAGCTAATGAGGGATGATTCGGTGGCAAACCTTTTTGGAAGATTTTATGTGCTTTTTCGTAAAGTTCAAGTGCTTTCGAGTAATGACCCATATCCAAATACGCTCCACCAATGTTGCTGTAGGAACCACGCAAATCAGGATCATCTTGAGACAGAACTTTTTCGTAGATTTTAGATGCTTTTTCGAAAAACTCGAGTGCTTTCGAATAGTCACCCATGTTGTTATATACCACACCGATATTGTCATAGGTAAGAGCCAAATCAACCATCTTCGGAGGTGGAGTTTTCTCTTCGATTTCTCGTGTCTTTTCGTAGAACTCAAGTGCTTTTATGTAATCACTCATGTCGCAGTATACTGAGGCGATGTTGTTATAGATTTCAGCTAATGGAAGATTATCTGAGAAAGAAGTTTTACGGGCTATTTCGATGGATTTTTCGTAAAACGACACAGCTTCTTTGTATTCTCCTTGGTCCTGCTTCACCCATCCAAGTTGATTATAGATATTTGCTCTATTGCTGTCGTCAGACGCCTGTTCTAGTAGTGCCATATATAATTCTTCAGCCTTGTCGTGTTGACCTATTTTGAGCAGCAATTTACCCACTCGATTCCATCCTATGCCTTCCACGTCTTCTCGTATAAGGTCAGTTAATTGACGGAGTTGTTGGTCATCGTCTGACGGGAGATTAACGTCCACTTCGTAAAGTGAATTTTCGTTATCAAACTTTCGAACTGCACCAATTCGAAATACGGTATCCATGGAGAAGAGAATTTCTTCTTCTGCCTTGAAAAAACTTGCATCCTCGATGGAAGCGAACGGAGTCGACGAGATCGTGAGATCTATTGTCATTTGAAAAACGACACCGACTTTACCAGGTGTTCCTAAGGCATTTTTGGCAAAATCGATCGAGACATCTCGAGTTTTATTGGTGGACATAAAAAAAATTGAACGATGTAAGTCCTCCTTTGTTTTTAGTAAGTTTTTCGAAATCGTCTGTCGTTAATCCCTGTCTCCGATATAGTAGAAAGGGCTTTCTATGATATTGACTGAACTGTTCTTTGTGTAAATGTTCAAGTTGTCTGTGTATATCACAAAGAAAAAAATGCCATTCGTATAGTTATGTCACTGTCTAATGTTCGCAATGCTCGATTGAGCTTTTTGTATGTGAAGCACTCACGTGAATGCCACCAAATGGCTTTTGATGCTTGATATGTACGTTCGAATTCTTCAATGAGTTCCGTTTCTTTGGTATTGTTCTTGTATTCTTTTCGACAAAACGTAACTAATTCTTTGAACTTGTTTTGATCATGTTCCATATCAAGAAGTATTTCCTTGAACATTTGCGAATACATGAAGGAGGCTTCGAGTTGATTGAGTTCTTCACTGGAATATCCTTCGTTTACACCAATAACACTGACCGATATGTGATCTTGATCACATTGCTTGACAGCCATTGCTAGTGCTTCGCATATGGGGTCAATCGATGCGTGAAAACCTTTGATTTTTGCCCAACCTTTGGTCCAGGCTTTATGATCTTTTTCGTGGCAACAAAAAATGTAAATGGCATTTAGCCTTGGCATGTCACGAATGTCTGGCAGGAGCTTCTTTGCAAGTGCATTAGAGGAAATAACAAACGATGTCTTCTCCTTATTTTCATTGAGATGTTGAATACATTGTTCGATTGTTGCGCAAACATTGACTTCATTTACGACAGCACGCAATTGCGCGATTATATTTTGACAATCTTTATTTGTCATGTCAATATTTTCATGGACCTAGATGACCAAATAATTTTCAGCCATACTGCGTCTATTTTGACCACTCATTTTCGATGTAATGTTCACTGTTCGATCGATAATCGTATATTATGAATAATAGCTTGTTGTTTAGACATATATAATCCTTAATGTTTGTACATTCAATATTCGTTGTTTTGTTTTGTTTTGTTTTGTAGGTTTTTCAACGACGTCAACTACGGGTATTTTTTTCGTTGACACCATCTATCTACTTGCAATTGGTAATACGCTTATCAACAAGAAATGAAAAAGAAAAAAGGTCAACATGATTTATTTTATGATTATTTTTCCTAACGTTCGTTTGTATTTCATTTGAACCGTGACTTAGATTTGATTGCATTAGATATCTTGTTTCATACCTTGTATCGTTTTTTTTTGTCATTCTTGTAAAACAAACATTTTCTCCTCTGTCTGACAAGAACGAAAAAAAAAACAGCAAGGCCATCATTAGTTTGATTTTTTCCATTTTGCATACGATTGACATGATGATAATGTGAATGAAACAAGACAAAAAACATTATTTTTATTTTTATTTAGGCAACAATTAAACAATTGTTCTAATTGTGCTTAACTCTTGGTAATATGTATCGTACAACATGGTTATTGGAGTAATGATGATTTGCATACTGAGAATTTGTAAATAGCGAAAGACCGAAGTACCTATTACCCACTTGAAAACAAATGAAACACTTGAATGAATGCTTTATACATTGATGTAGCAAACAAGCAAAAATTTTACATCAATTATCATACCAATTTTACCTACAATGCTATGCAGGCTGTTACCGAAGAGTTATTCTAAAATTTTAAGAACTGCCTACTTTCAGTTATGAACGTCAGTGGTGTCATGTACTATTAAACAGTGCAAATTAGAATTTGAATCAATATTCATAATAAAACTAGCCTTTACTTTCTTTGCTATTTCAATGAAATAATCATTACTTGAATGAAAACTACGCATGAAAATTTATAGTTTGCTTGCGGTTTTTAGCGTCATACTTAAATACAAAAGTTTCTTTTACATTCGAATTCGTATTAGAAAAATACTGCTATATTCATGTTTTTTTTGTCAATGAGACCAGTATCACCGTGAGAGTGTGCCAGTGAGACTAGCCGGTTGAATATATCAATACTTACAATCTTACTAAAGTGATTTCTGATTTATATTCATTCGAAATATGTGTATCATAAAAATAATTGGTGGTTTCTTATCGTAGATTAACGTCTCTTCTTTCGTTAACTTCTACGATTCATAAAGAAACAATATTCATATTGTGTTTTGTTTATATTTATGGCTTATACAATTTTAATGTGCGTCACAATGACAATGAGAAAAACTCCTGGATTATAGAAGCATGTAACACTAGAACTATGTTTATTATGAGCGCATATCACTGGGAAACATATTAGAAAACATGCAGTAATTGATAACTATTTTTTGCTTGTGTCCATGCGAAAGAGAGTCATACATATTTGCATGCAACTGACAAAGAATGAAAAGAATCGCTGATATTTGTTTAACTAAAATCAATGGAAATATTGAAAACACGAATCTTTCTTTTGTAATTCAAATGCAAAACAAAAAACACCATCACTACATTTTATGTTTGATCTCTTTGTTCAAACACACCAATTTATTCTGCGAACAGCAAATATTGACCGTAACGTTGATTACATGATTACTTTGAGTTTATTCTGAAAATATATCTATGAAAGACAAGATAGATCAACAAAAAATTTTATTAACAACGAAGGAACCCACGAAACAAAAACAAAAACAAAGCAATTTTTATTATTGGTGTCATCAGTTTTTTTCTTTCGTTCCTATCTGTACAGTGAGTGAAAATGTGATGATAAAATATGTAAATAAAGGAGTATTGAAGAAATGTAATGCCATATTTTTTCCACCAGTGTCACAGATCCAGGAAATCGGGGATCTTACAGATCTCCACAGAGATGCTATGTATACAAGCATTTTCACCCTATTCATATATTACACATATCTGATATTAGCCTTTATCTCTACAAGAGATACAGTATCTCTCATCACATCTCTGCAAGAGATGCCACATCTCCAGGATTTGCATCTCTAATGAAAAAAATTTTTTTTTAATTTTAGCCGAGGGATGATGCTGGAGATGGGTGTGGGTGTGGATGTGGGAGATGTGGCATCTCTTAGAGAGATGTGATGAGAGATAAGGTATCTCTGGTAGAGATGCGATATCTCCTTAAGGAGTTCGAGATAGTAAAAAAAATATCATTACTGTGTAATAATTCAATATTATGTTGTAATGTCGTTAGTATATGTAACATCTTCGTGGAGATCTCTGAGATCCCGATTTTCTGGATCTGTGACACCATTTTTTTTTCTTCACTTTTTTCTGTGATGGCATCTCATGAAGAGCTTTTTGTCATCATCTCTCTGTGTTTTTAAATTGTTTTGACGAATTTAAATCATTCGAAATGTATTACAAACTAATTCAACGCTGTTCAGTGCATTACATTCATTTTGTTTCTCTACATGGTCATGATTTACACGCATCTATTGTTGCGAAAATCCATAGATTTAGTATGATTAGCATTATGTTGAAATGATCATTCCAATCAAACAAATGTTCAAGAATCAGTTCTCTAGAACATTCTTTTTTTGTGTGTGATAAGAGCATTCAAAGGTTTATCACGATGTAAATAGAAGTATTAAGAAAGCATCCTCATCTTTAAAAATATTTAGGTTGTGGCCTTATACAGTGGAGATCTACTGTATATACGGTGAATATACAGCTATCAACGATAATCCGATCTTGGTCATGAACATACCGCATACGATACGTCGTAAATACAATCGTAAGTCATGGGTTATG